AGTACGGGCACATTTTATCGAAGCTCAGTTTACAGCAACATCAATTATTGAAAAGGGATTGCCATTTAGTGAATTTATTCGATCGGCATAAGCAAATCTGGAAGCACCTAAATGCTAGTGCGATTTACTGAGGAATGTTTGCTTATGCTTTGAGCACTCGCTCTTCTCTCTTAGGTTGTAAACCAGGCAAAACGTAAAAGTATTCTTGCAAAAACAGCAGGGTTGTGACATGCACAAAAACATGTCTATCATACTCTGAATGTGCTGGCCGCCCAAGCGAGTGATTTGCTGACTGGCTCGGCTTCACCGTCGGCCAAGGCAGAGCAAGCAGTCGAGTTCGGTGAATTGTGTTTTTCCTGAAAACAAATTTGTTAAAAGGATTCAATAAAATGGGGGTTTCAAAACCGGTGCTTGAGAAAATAGGTGCCTCCGCTCAGGCCCCACACACCGTTGTTCTTAGATCTATCAGTTCACAAGCTCCACAGGAAAGCAGCGTTCAAAAACAGTTCTCTGTTGCTGGCACGCAAGCAGGTAAAGGTAGATAACGTTCCTAGCGCCATGGCGTCAATGCTTCCATGGTCAACAAAGAACATTTTTTGAATGACACATTTTTTTATTTAAGTTTTGTGAAGACCTCATGTTTACTGTAAAAACCACAATAAGATCACTATCCACCGCCGGTAATGTGCCTCCAACCTTTCACCGGATCTGTCCATAGGACGGGCCGATAGTGTAGCAGGTGCCATTGAGTGGATGCGACGCAAAAAGGCGTCGGGCGTTTTCCGAAGCTTGTCAACTGACCTAGATCAAAGAACATATGTACACATTGCTACCATTGCAAAGCGGGTCTAACATGTTGCCCGAATCGTGTTCGGGTGTTGGATAGACTATTGTATGTTTTTGTACCGACCTGGGGTGTGCCTGGAGGACTAAATGTAGGACAACAAGAATTGCGGGGAGGAGCCTCCTACATTCGGCAATGCTTTGGCATCTTGCGAACCTCCAGAATGCACGCGCAGACAGAGCATGAGAAAAGGCGACAAGTACTTGCTGGAGGCTGGGCGCTAAGAGATGCCTGGCCTTTCTCATCTTGTCGGCGACTATTAGCACCGAGATGTTCTGGTGACATCTTTTTTCGTTCACAACATCAGAGGCAGTTTGATACTTCAGCGCAGGCACGTAGCCAGGATTTTGTTTCGGGGGGGGGGGGGGGGGGGGGGGGGGGGGGGGGGGGCCGGCCCGGACACCATGGGCCTCACCCCCCCTGGCTACTTGCCTGCTTCAGCACCATGTTCCAGGTGAGGAAAAAAAACCACCTTTCATGCAAGGCTTGTCAAAATATAAGTGCTGGAAAATATTGGCCATCCACAATCAGTCCTTATTGAGAACTCTACTCTATGTTCATGTCCTGCGGCCGCATTGAAAAGCACTGCAAAAGAGCGCAAGCATGCGCCTGACCTCGCCACACGAGTCTCCTCCTGCACTATAAATTCTGCTTGCTATGGTCACCAAATGGCAATGGATGCACATGCCAATGCAGCGACTGAAGCCAGCTACCGCCACTCCATCTTCCCAAATGTAGTCTTCTACCAATTCAACAGTAGCTTGGGCTCCAAGCTAGGCAATCCCCCCTGCAAATGGTTTTGTGGTATCCCTTCAATTTATTTCTAAAATTCTATAGATTTTTGCACCCTCCGTCGCATGGGTGCTGCCATCTTGAAATCACGTGACATAGCCGCCATAAGGTGGCTTCAAATCGTCACTCCTCTCTCCCCTTCGCGAACGCGTATTCGTTTTTTCGGAGCGTTTTACCGCAATTTTACAGTGAGGCTGTATTTGACTCGTGGGTAAGTTTTCTTTTTTGTCTGTGAACAGAACAGTAGTGGACAGAAAAGCATTGTGCACTTCTTGTCTTCTATCGTGTAGTTTTGACACTTGTAGTTTTCAATAAGAAAACCACAAGTGTCGAAACCACATGATCGATAAGGCGTGCACAAACAATGCGAAACACATAGTGCTCCCTGCATGCGTCTCTCAGTAAAAATTGTGGTTTCATAAGCTGCCGTGGCAATGGCACCATACAGTCTTTCACATAGACCCTTTAGCTGCTTACAACATGAACTGCTGCTTGCGTCCCAAGCGACTTCCGATCGCTCAGTCTTTGCAAGTCTGTTGAGCTGGCTTATGTCACCTGTGCTAGAAAGGATAAATGCTACACGGACAACAAAGTTGGAGATTTAATGAGGGCATTCGGCTGTACAATTTATTGTCTTGGATGAAGCAAGTTGGCTTACAAAATATTCGAAACATATTAACATACTGTACAGGACTTAAAAAATTTCGCAAACCACCGACATTTCGTGAAAAATAGGTCACGCGAACGATTCTGGTAAAACGTAAACACATTGGGATCTATAATGAGATTCCACCGCATCGCGAAAATTAGAACCTGCGAATTATTCCAAAACTTCAGCTTTAACCTGAATTGCGAAATATTGAGCCCGTGAAAAATAAGTCATTTACAATATCCTCTCCAATTTCTTCGTTTTTTTGGCGTTCACCTAAAGAATTGCTGGTTACACATTTCATCGACATTCCAGGCAGGGCGTTCACCTGGAGAATTGGTGGTTAAACATTTCATCGACATTTCAGGCGGCTGTGTCAAGGTAGGTTTTGTTAATTTTTTCTGTGAATCGGAAGTTCGCTGGGACGTCAAACTGGAGCACCGCCTGGTGGCATTTGCAAAGAAAAGGGCCTTTACAAAAACCGTTCTGGTAGAGTGCATTTACTTTTGCTTTAATCATTTGGTATAGTGCAGTGGGCAATCGTTGCAGGTGATACCACACTTCGCTGGCCAACTATCTTTACAGCGTGAATAGTGTAGTAACTAGCGATAGATGGCGCCACGTCTCCCAGCGGGGCCGCGTTTTGAGCACGAGCGCGGAGCGCGCGCAATAAAAGATCATTCGTTCGAATCTCCATGCTGGCTGATGCGTAATGCTTGCTACATGGTGGCAGCGATTTAAGCCAAATTAGTTCGTAGCGGTTCAAAGAAACGAAACAACGCTGGACAGTAGGCCCGGAGAAGGTGGCGACCGCGAAGAACGCCAAAGTGAGCGATCGGCGACCACCATGACAAGCCTACTACCGCCGCCGAAACCGCTAGACATGGCAAGCGAACCCTGGAACGCATGGAAGACGTGGCTAATGGAATTCGAGCTGTTTGCGGTAGCAACGCACCTGATGGACCAACCTGACAAAGTGCAAGCAGCAACACTTCTCGTCTGCATCGGAGAAGAAGGTAGGCGAATTTACACCACCTTCACATTCGATAACGAGGAAGATAGAGAGAAACTCGAGGTCCTGAAGAATAAGCTCGCGGCGCACATGAAGCCAGCGATCAACCTCACGTACCACGAATTCATCTTTGGGAAAAGAGACCAAAAGGAAGGTGAGAAGTTTGATGAGTGGTTGACGGAACTGAGGGTGCTTGTACGCAACTGCGAGTACGGTGACGTCGAAGAACGTATGCTAAGAAGCCGAATAATACTCGGAACTAAAGACCGACAGTTGCAGCACAAACTGATTAACGACAATCCTACCTTTGACAAAGTCCTGGAGATATGCCGAACAAGGGAACGAACTGAAGAACAGTTCAACGAAATCCACGGAAAGGACGGAAAGGACGAGGAAAGGCTTCTGTGTCAAGAGAACACGAAGACACAAATGCAGCAGATACAAATCTTTGTGACCCTGCCGGACCATACGCAGACGTTTTCAGCGGACTGGGAAAGGTCAAGGGATTTGTGTACAACATGAAGGTGAAGCCAGGTTCACAAGGCGTCGTTCGCCCAGCCAGGAAGGTGCCTGTGGCACTGCAAGAAAAGGTCAAGTGCGAACTTCAAAGAATGGAGAACCAGGGACTTCTGACAAAAGTAAAAGAACCGACAGAATGGGCCAGTTTCATGGTAGTTGTCGCAAAGAAGGACAAAGTGCGCATCTGCATGGGCCCAGTTGACTCGAATCGAGCCCTGAGAAGAGAACACTACCCGATGACGACAATGGACGACATTGCCCTTCGAATCGCGGGAGCGAAAGTGTTCTCTGCGCTAGACGCATCCTCGGGATTCTGGCAGATCGAACTTGATGAAGAGAGTTCAAAGTTGTGCACCATGAGTACTCCGTATGGAAGGTACAGGTTTAAGAGAATGCCCTTCGGAATAAGCACAGCACCTGAAGTTTTTCAGCGTGTCATGAACGAAGTACTAGATGGACTCACCGGAACAGCAGTCGTGATGGACGACATATTGGTGTGGGGAAAGACTCGCCAGGAACATGACGAGAATCTGCGACACTTGCTCCAACGCTGCCGTGAAGTGAATCTGCGACTTAACCCAAAGAAGATCCAATTCGCGAAGACAGAAGTCCGCTACCTCGGACAAGTGCTGACTGGAGATGGAGTTGCTGTTGACCAAGAGAGAATCAAAGCCATACTGGAGGTCAATGAACCAAAAGATCGCAAGGAACTTCGAACATTTCTCGGAATGATCACCTACTTGTCGAGCTTCATACCACGACTTTCCGAGCGTGCGGCACCACTACGAGAACTGCTGAAAAAAGAGATTGCATGGGTATGGACGGTAGATCAACAAAGAAGTTTCGAAGACTTGCGAGACGCTTTGACGAAGGCACCAGTGCTGGCTTACTACACTGCAGAAAAGCCGATTACGCTGTCAGTCGACGCAAGCCAATACGGAGTAGGGGCCGTTATCACCCAAGACGGAAGACCAATAGCGTACTCATCGAGATCTTTGACAGCCGCACAAATGAAATATGCGCAGATCGAGAAAGAGATGCTGGCCATTGTTCATGGTTGCAGCAAGTTCCACCATTACATATTCGGCCAACCAAACGTAACAGTAGAATCCGACCACAGGCCGTTACAGGCTATTTTCATGAAACCGTTGCATCAGTGCCCGATGAGACTGCAGCGGATGAAGATGGCTCTCCAAAGATACTCATTGGAAGTAAAATTCATACCTGGAAAAGACTTGCAGTTAGCGGACGCACTGTCACGGTTTCCCACGAAGGAAACAATGCAAGAAGAAGAAGAGAAATTTCAAGTCAACTCACTGGATCACATATCTGTCACACAAGATCGGCTAAATGAAATAAGAGACGCAACTGCAGCCGATGTCCAGATGCGTCTACTGCGTGAGTATGCACAGACGTCATGGCCCGAGCAGAAAGAGCAAGTTCCTCAACTCGGAAGGCCATTCTGGTCCTACAGAGAGGAGATTCACGAGGAAGACGGCCTTGTGCTGCCGTCAAACAAGATAATAATTCCAACGGCCATCAGATCCAAGATTCTCAACTTGCTCCACACGGCACACGCGGGCAAAGACAAAATGAAGAGAAGAGCCCGAGAAATTTTGTTCTGGCCCGGAATCAACGCTGACATTGACCGCGAACATGACGAATGCAGCAAATGCGAGAAGTACAAATCAAGAAACGCCAAGATGCCACTCCTCAGCCACGCACTGCCAACGCTTCCTTGGCAGTTGGTCGGGACCGATTTCTTCACTCATGAAGGAAAAGACTACATAATCCTGGTGGATTTTTACTCATTTTATTTTGAGGTAGAAGAAATGAAAAGTACCACAGCTTCCAAAGTCAAAGAGTTCTGCCTTAAGGTATTCGCAACACATGGACTGCCGTTGAAACTTATAAGCGACAATGGCCCACCATTTGGCAGCCAGGAGTTCAAGCAGTTCTTGGAAAACCTGAAGATAAAACAAGTTACATCAAGCCCTTACCACGCTCGATCAAATGGCATGGCTGAACGAGCCGTGAGACAGGCCAAACAACTCTTGCGAAAGAGTGCCAACACTGAAGAGTTTTACCGCTCCCTCCTTGAGTGGCGCAACACTCCACGAGACGATGTCCTCCAATCGCCAGTACAGAGACTGATGAGCCGACACACAAGAACACTGTTACCTGCGCGATCGGAACATTACCTGCCGGCTGTTGTGCCACCCAAGGCTGTCACACGTCGTCTCACAGAAATAAGGCGGCAACAAAAGGCGAACTACGATAAAAGCTCAAGAACACTGCCAGACATTGACACGGGTTCTACAGTCACCGTCTACAACACCCTGCGGCGCACATGGTCACCTGCCATAGTCGTGGGACATCCAGTGCCGAGGTCCTACGACATTTTAACCCCAGGGGGTCGGGTCCACCGAAGAACCCGTGAACACTTACGAACGGCGACGGATTCTCGACGAGAGCTGACCTCCACGGGGAAAGACACAGCCTGCACGGAACAGAGTCCCAGTGACTTTAGCCAGGGTCAGCCTCACCCGGAAGCGCGGCCGCGAAGAGGAACAAGGAAAAGAAGGCCACCACAACGATACCAACCATGTTGATGGTGACGTTCTACGCTGACTTTTCCAGAGAAAAGAGATGTAGTAACTAGCGATAGCTGGCGCCACGTCTCCCAGCGGGGCCGCGTTTTGAGCACGAGCGCGGAGCGCGCGCAATAAAAGATCATTCGTTCGAATCTCCATGCTGGCTGATGCGTAATGCTTCCTACAAATAGGAGCCCCAATTTTAAACACCAAAATATACCCCCGACTCCTAGTAATAGTAGTATTGGGGTCAATGATGACCTCGGCGTAAATGCGGCTAGTTAGCTATAGCGAAATATAAGCGAACGTTGCTAGCTGGGAAGTCAAGCTATCTTTGCTTCGTTGCCCCTCCCCACCATAACAAGCTTGAAAGGAACATGACCTAAACATAGTAATGCTTTAAAATTTTCTTCATTGTACACCGAAAGTTAGGCCACTCCATATTTTCACCTGATTTGCTCTTGATGTTAGGTGGGTTATCTCTCGGGATTTTACGGTATACAGATAATTTATTTAGACACACAGGGTTGGCTCCCAGGGTGAAAAACGTGTCAAAGAAAACTTGAGTGCCTGACAAAAGTGCCCGAGGCACATAATACGTGACGCTGAAAAGAGACCGTCATCATGTGGTCAAGGCATTTAGTGATTCTTTAAACCATTCTGTTTTTCTTTTAAGTCTCTAACCTCCTGAAAAAGGTTAGTCTGGCCGGTACCCAATGCAAAACGATTTCAAAGGCTTTGTTAAGCAGGGCTTCTTGCAGTTTATTAATAGGGCAAATATTAGTTTCAATATCCCTGCCAAGAAGTAAAAACAACATGTATCTAACACTTTCGACATAGCCATTAACACACAAACTGTCACTGTCAAAATCTAGGGCTCATTGGCATCCAGGGCTCACCAGCACAGTTAGTTCCGGCTGCAGGCATGCAAGGCATCTGGCATCATGGCAAGCTCGGCTGGCGTGGGCGGGTTACAGCAGAGCCGTGTATACAGACAGTTTGGTCAATGGGAGGCGCGGGCAGAGCCAGGGCGTGCACCAGACGCAGAAAGTGGGCTAGACGTGCTCCCTTGGCCAACCAGAAGCCTAAAATCCTTTAGCTGTGGTAGCGAGAAACTGTTTTGGTCCAAGGTATATGTTGGTATAAGGTCTTAAAAGCGCGTAAGAGTGAAGTGTAGTAACCCTTTATGGTTCAAAATAGGGTGCACACGTGATATTTTGATCATGATCATGCAGAAAGATGTAAGTAACGAATGCGCCGCACAACTCTGTTTTGCTCGGACAGAGTGCGACTGCTCGGACGGCATATTCCTGGCCGTCGGCGCACGCATTATGCCGATTGTTTCGCTAGTCACACTCTTCCACCATGATTGAAACATCACGTGCACCATATTTTCAGTCACCGAGAGTTACTCAGACGCACTTGTAAGGTTTGTTTCTCGTGACCACCGACAGGGTATTATTTCCGGCTTCTGGTTGGCCACATTCGAATTTCTGAAGACGCCCTGGAACACGCCCAGCCCACTTTTGGCCAATGGCGCCTCCTCATTTGTCTCCTTTACTTCCCAACGAATGGCCAAACTCTCTACATATACGGCTCTGGAATACAGGTGCGGTCCTCTCGTCCAGTGAACAGGGTCAGCCCTGGTTGTTGCCCCAACCGGCAGCCACCGCTAGAAAAGTAAAGTGTCGTGCATTGGCCTGCAATCAAATCTCGACCCAAGATTACGGGCACCACAATTTCACAGTGCCGATTCTGTTCCTGTTAAGCTGCATTTGCGGCATCCGGGCTCCTCCAGGTGAGGATGCTGTGCCAGAAGGTAACTGCAAGCGTGTACAGATATAGAGGCTTACCTTTTTCACTTTCGGGAATTTAAAGCAAAGTGTCCTGTAAGAGAGATAATGGCCCCACCACCCAAAAACATGACGGCATACCGATGGGATCAGTGTCACTGCCTCACTGCTCCCAAGGAAGGACGGTAACGGCCATAGGTCACTGGCTGTTTGGCTTCAGCGTCTCTGCTGGCTTCTTTGGCCATTAGTCGTCACGGCTTTCCACCTTTGCTTGTTCTGCCAATCACCGCTTTTGAAGATGGTCAGGCTGCTCACACTCGTGGCAGTGGACCGGCGACAGGTGCCTGCCTTGGTTCTCCCGTACCAAGGAAATTTCTTTGGACCGCCTCGCATCTGAAGTTGCTCTCTGCAGTGAGTACAGGTAACAATGAAGCCACCACGTCAAAGAGAGCACTACGAGACGCAAAGACGCAAGGCAATGCACGACACTTGAGCAATGAAAGGGAAGTCGGCGGCTGAATTCACTGAACCGCGTGAGTGCATTTGCTTAGGATCACGTGGTACGAGCGCTCCTGCAGGGGGCGTTCCAGACATGGCAATGAAGGCTACTCGATCACCGCTTGCACGGCCTTCGCAGCTATTCTATGCAAGGGTGATAATCGGCCGTATTGTACACAGGTACAGCTCCAGAAAAGTGTGTACAAAAAATTACTGCGGCTGGGCTCTGTCGCCTCCGAAACACGTAAGCTTCATTTGCAGCAGGAGTGACGTTAAAGCAAGGGTGCAGGCGAGCTGGATGAACATAGACATTTTAACCCTGGAGAGTGGGGACAAGGAGGACAACACGACACAGATCTCCAAACCAACTCCGAGCTACATAATTCTTTTTTCACATCACGCACAGCTCTACAATCACGACTATTAGTCCTAAACGAACTGTCAACAATGGCACTTAACCTTTTCACAAATTGGTCTATAAGGGCTGACCTTTCATCGTCAGAGGAGATTTTGTTTGCTACCTCATGAATATTTCCTACCATGTCTATTCTTGAGGGTTTTACGTTCAAACAAAACTTGGGGCTTTTTTTTCTAATACACGGGAACCCGAGGCAGACAAGGGTACATCACAAGGATTACAAATCTGACTCCTTTCGAGATCCGGTGCGGTACGAAGGGTTCCATGAGGCTGTTCGCTGAAGATGTAGAACGAAGGCCTGAAGGTTGCGCACTTTAGCTCCGCGAAACTTTTAACGGTTCGGTTCTTTTCGACAACCAAAGGCGATGATAGGAGTCTTGTTTCAGTCTATACCAAGTTTTGAAGTCCAGCGAGGAGGTGAAGTTCTCTTCGTGGACAGCAACCCACAGCTTAGTTGACACTTCATGAACGAACTTAAGTTGATCACACTTGACGATTCTTCTCTTAAAACGCCACTGAAGGTGTGCAGAAGTCAGATATCTGAATTCAGAACCTCCACCACATCGTTTCCGTTGTGCAAGGCTGAAGTAGCTTGCGTCCCACTCCGTCCGCAGCACGATGACCAAGCTGACGTAGAACAAACAGCGCATGCAACTCGAGGTCTCTCGGATTCATTAGGGGAAGAACAGAAGTAGATATTGGGACAATGTCTGCGTTAGGTAGAAGTAATGAAGTTAAAGCAAGGGTGCAGGCGAGCTGGTTGAATACAGACATTTTAACCCTGGAGAGTAGGGACAAACAGGGCAACACCGACACAGATCCCCTCCAAACCAACTCCGAGCTACATAATTCTTTTTCTCGGCACCGGGCGCAATTCGAAAATTAAAGATGCTTACCCAGAGCACAGGCTGCACGTCCACAACACACACCAGTGCGGACACCGCCGAGTCGCCGAGCGCCCGACCGACACTGCACGCCACTTTTTTTTTTTTTGTCAAAAAAAAATATATAAATTACTATGACGTCACGGATGTCAAAATAACATTCTTTTGACGTCCGTGACGTCAGTGGCCACGCCCCTGTGCTTCAAATCGGTGCCGAAAATACGCAGCCCCGGATTGCGGGACTCGCGCGGCACGGAACTAGCCACTACAATAGCGAAACCACGCGGAACTGTGTCGACGTTTTCGATGTTATGGAAACCGCAGGAACTGCGTCCAAGACAGGCAGGTTTTGCTGCCGGCTGCCTGGGTGCCTTCCGTGCTGCGTTCGGTTCTGTTTTCCGATGCCAAGTGCAACCGGCGTTCAACGTGGTTCTGTATTTGTGCGTGTCAGCAACATAGCTGCAACATCGTGATGGCAGTGTTGTGTGTTGTGAACAGAAGACTGGAATTATCGCCGATGTGACCGTGTGTTCGCGTATCACTGGTGTAACAAGAAGATGAGATCGTAAACTATTGGGCATTGATGCCGCTGGTCGGGCCGTGATCGGAGGTTGCGGTGTAGCAGGTTGACATTCCGCTTTACATTAAAAAGTTTAATATCACTTGAGGGACTACGTGCAATCGATCAACGTGCGGATAGTCATGTTGGAACGCTGGTCTGAACACTAGAAGCTCCTATCGCAATTGTACAGTGGCCAATATGACTGTCGGAATTGTCTCGTCCCCGAGAGCGATTGCGCTCTGGGGCAAGGACTGAACAGTACGAAATCGTGACGGAAAGTACGTATATTTACAGTATGGAATTTCGGCATTAAAAAGCAATAGTACGTAAAATTGAAAAACAAAAAAGCTACCCTTTATTTTGCTGTTTAAATATACTACGGTTCCTGGAGAAACTGCCCTCCAAGTTGCGCGCTGGGATGAGCGCTAGAAGTTTTCGGGCTCGCCACGGCGTAGCTCCGTACACTTAACACCTGCCGCAAGTCGCGGCTTTGACTGCATTCAAGTTGATCAAAAAGCGATTTCTCAGCCCGTGAAGCATCACTTCCAGCTGAGTCCGCTCTACAGAGATTATTCAAGACGGCAATTGCAGCTTTGCGCGAACAGCACAACTAGAGAAAACAATAGAAATACAGGCTACGACGTGCCGTGTGGGGAAACAAACTCATGGCTTCAAACCGCATTGGAGCGGCTTGATTTATTGGCTTTCAAATAATTACGGCATGATCGAGCGTTTACTTTTTAATAAGAGATTCATGCCCCTGAGCCATTCAAAATACTCTCAGAGGTATGACATTGCTGGAAAAAAAATCAACATACGGGGAATATTTTTTTATTGCTTAGGGAGTCACCGAAAAGTTTCGT